CCAAAAGTTTGACTTATTCGCTCATGCAGATTACTATCTTCTATATCCCTGTCAAGCTTGAAAAGAATCTATTGTGTAGTTTGCATTTGCGGAAGGGAAGTGTGGTAATTGCTGTTAACACATGCAGCAAAATTGCAGGCACTTGGCGTGTTTGTGCTGAATTCAAATAGACATTGATGACCATCATCAGAAACGGCAAACCGTTTTTTATTATTTTGAGGGTTAATACTTCGAAATATTGTTGATATATACAAGAAATACGCCCGGATACCAAACACCGCAAAAAGACACCCAGGAGTGGAAAATCCACCAGCTTCAAACAACAAATTTTTTCGTAAGAAGATCACTTGAATGTGAGAGAACGCATTTTTTTCTATCAGAGGCCTGTTTCACTAAAAACTTGTATTTACAAGTGTTTGTAGTTTACAATTCATAAGTATTTTTACCAACTACGTAAAAACCGATTTCACTAAGCTTCATCGCCAGTGGCACCTCCGATAAGAAAATGTTTGCAAATAAACTTGTAAACAGTAAAAATCAGTAAAAATGTTTTTAATCAAGAACTATAGCATGTTAAAGATATTGCTTCTTTGTATCAAATATTGTCTAGTATTCATGTCAGAAGCTGCCTAATTAAATTATATTTAATGATGCTGTTGGAAAAAGATATAAATGATAATTCACATTGTCCTATTATTGTAAGAAAATAACACGCAAAACATTTGACAGCAGAAGACTGTTGAATGCAATTATGGCGCGCGAATGACAAAACTTGACGATATTTTAATACCGATTATTTCGCATCTTAGGGTGCGTGCTAAGTAAAAATTGAGCATGAAACGACTCAACAAAGCCTATTTGTTCTAAATATATGACTGTTTTGCATTATTGCACAAAAAGTATCAAAATTCCGAACGTCAGGACCACTGGAATTTCAGGTTTGTAATTACGATGTTTTCTTTCAAGTTTCTGGTCTTCGTGAAACAGAAAGTTTGCGATTCCCATGTTTTCTTGCAAACTTTTTCTTGTAAAAAAGTTTGCAAATTTTAAACTCAAAATTCATATTCAAAGGTTTCGTGAAATCCAAATCTCAAATGTTGGTAATTATTTCTTGTAAACTCAAGCTTTTTCTTTGTAAATACAAGTTTTATTTGTTAGTGAAACAGGCCTCTGATAGAGTGATTTGGTTGCCTTCCGTGACTTATTTTTTGCGAAAAACACAAGAACACGATCGCCACGGTCGGAGCGGCTTACCGGAGAGGGAGGGAGGGAAGAATGACCTTGAGTAACGCAAACATACAATTCTTGCGCATTTGTGTCGATTGAAGTTGGTGTGAAATCGCAAGCCGTCTTCAACAGAGACCTGTTTCACTAACAAATAAAGTGTGTAATTACAAAGAAAAAACTTGAGTTTAAAAGAAATATTTACCAACATTTGAAATTTGGATTTCACGAAACCTCCGAGCATGAATTTTGAGTTTAAAATTTACCAACTTTTTTACAAGAAAAAAGTTTGTAAGAAACATCGAAATCGCAAACTTTCTGTTTCACGAAGACCAAAAACTTGAAAGAAAACGTTGTACTTACAAACCCGAAATTCCAATGGCTCTTACGTTCGGAATTTTATTACTTTTTGTGCAATGATGCAAAGCAATCAATTATTTAAAACAAATATGATATGCTGAGCATTATATGCTCTTTTTTACTTAGCACAATCCCTACGAACCAGCTACGAGCAATAAATAAATATCGTCATGTTTTGTCATTCGCGCGCCATAATTGCATTCAACAGTCTTCTGCTGTCAAATGTTTTGCGTGTTATTTTCTTTCAATAATAAGATATTGTGAACTATCATTTATACCATTTAGAAACAGCATCATTATTTATAATTTATTCATGCATTTTTTCACATGAATACTAGACATATGTAATTTGATAAAAAGAAGCAATATCTGTAACATGTTGTAGTTCTTGATCAAAAACATTTTTACTGTTTACAAGTTTTTTTGCAAACTCTTTTTATCGGAGGTGCCGCTGGTGATGAAGTTTAGTGAAATCCGATTTTACATAGTTTGCAAAAATACTTATGAATTGTAAAGTTCAAACACTTGTAATCGCAAGTTTTTAGTGAAACAGGCCTCAGATAAGTCTGTTGGACGCAAGAGCCAAGCTGCTACGCGCCCTAACCCAGAACAACAACAACAACAACAGATAAGTCGTAAAATCAGTTCCCTGCCTTGATATCTTTATAATTCTGAGTGTAAGCTTGTGTTATTTCATCTTTTAAAATTATTATCAGTCTTCGATAGTAGGGTCAGTTGTTCCGGCAATATGAGACAGAGGTATTTGATAGGCATTTCAATTTGATTGTCTTTGTACAATAGGTAGGTACCTACCAGTTCCCACAGCTAGCAGCTACCTAATAGGAATTACCTTTTTTGTATTTAGTATGAATTTTATGTAGCCATTCAGCATTGGCACATCACTTGGAACTCTCTAGCCCCCTTTGCAGGCAGGGTTGGCAGGGGGTGGCAAAAACTGGTTTTTGCCAGTGGTTTTAACCGGTTTAAAGGGACTATCCCACCTTCTAAAATGTTGTTAAAACCAGTTAAATTGTGCCCGACTTTATAGATTGGATGACCAGGAACACGGTTCTGGCATTTATTTTTCATTAAACATCTTAGGCTTCCCATATTCCAAACACAAACTTTCAAATATGTGACGTCACCGCCCAAAATTACCTCCTTCCCCAGGCCACATTACTGTCATAAAGCTGATTCTTTTTACTCTGTAGGCACCACAACAAAGTTCAGACCAAGTTTTAAGCGATTTTTCAACGAACAAACCCATTTAAATCAGAATGACTAAACGAGGTGACGTCACACTAACGGTCGCTCCATGTTGAAGATAGGGCCTTGTACAAGGCCCATTTTCAAATGAAGGGAACGAATTTCTTCAACACCAAAAGGCCGCGGGGCTTGCAACCTAGATAGATAGTGGTTTCTGAACCTCGCCGCAAACTTGGCTATCTCAACTCAAACCCCATGTTAAAGGTGGGATAGTCCCTTTAAACCGGCTGGCAGAAACCCTGGTGGCAAGAACTGGCAAAAACTGGCTAAAACTCAGATGGCCAAACCTACAACTTGTCTAGTTAGGAATGGATTTGAAATGTACAAATGCATTTCTGGTAGTTATATAGATGCACTAAACATTCTGAAGTTGCCTCATTACTTATCCCTGCTTAAAATGTCTATGCATGTCGTTAGACATCCACAACGGAATGTATTTCCATGTAAGGGGAGAGAGGGACAAGGCGGCCACGGTAAGTAGGGTGTCATGCGGTGCCGTGCGCATATCAGTGGCAGCTACTTCTTCGCACTTCTGATTGTGCAGGATTCACCCAGTCACCCATGCACTGGCTCATTTGTCACCCCCAAAAGGCATCTTACTAGCTCCTTATGGATAGCCCATGAAAATGTTTCTGAGTTAGGTATGAAACATTTCAGTGGTCAATGTCACTTCTGTTTGAAAGCATAAAGCTTTCACCGAATTCTCCTTAAAATGTTTCCCGTTCAAAATCATGACCAGGCATAGCATTGTGATATTTCTGAGTTTTTGCCAGTTTTTGCCACTTTTTGCCGGTTAAAACCGGTTTAAACCGGCAAATGGCATAAACTAGTTTTTGCCGGCAAAAATGCCAACCCTGTTTGCAGGGTAAATGCCCTTTGGCCTTGTGTAGATGAAAAACAAATTGCTGAGAAATGCAGGTTTTCATTTTTAATAGCATCGTCACCAATATTAGGTGCTATAGCCATACTACTAAGTTAAACCTTACATTGTCTACTCCTCAAGGTTTTTAGTTGGTTACGAAGAGCAAAGTTATTGGTGACAGCAATCATAGCTTCAGGCGTCAATTGTTGTCGGCTGTGCCCGTAGGTGGCAGTTATGAAGCTCTATGTTATGCCTAATTTTCCACTCATTTTGCTCGTTTTTGGTCTGATTTTTCCACTCGACACCCTAGCTCAAAACCAATTCTAGGACACTGGACGTGCTCATCATTAGCCCTGTTCAATAATACTCAAATTGCTAATATTGTGATTACAGAACCTCTTTTTTGTGAGTAAATAAACAGTCCTCCATCTGATTCTATAATAGGGACACAGTGAACGAAACCGATGGTATTAATTCTCTTTCAGTAGTAGGTATCTCACAGCAAAACTCAAAACAAAACTTCCAAACAAGCACATTTGATCATTGGATAAGTAAGCAATCAACCCATGGGCTAAAAGACCATACAGGGCCCATTACAACAACTTTGTCCTTCATTCCATACCTACTTAAGCACCAGCCCTGTCCTACTCCTCCGCCCATTTCGCCTGCTTTGTTAATCAACTCTTCCAGTGAAAGGCCACACTCGCAATCTCAGTTCAGCTAATTCCAGCCAGCTTAATTTCCAGCCCTCCAAGTTGAGGACTCATCCTACCTTTCCCCACGTCCTAGGCTGTTCCACCCTCTCCAATAGTCTGCTGTTTTGGTCATGTTCAACTTTTTCTTCCCTCATCACAGGCCTGTTATTTCCACCTCGATAGCCTACTCTGCTGTCCTCAACATCTATTTTCAGCTCTCCGTCATTGGTTCGCTCCACCCACTTAGTCCACCACTCCAGACCAGAACAGCTATCCTTTCTCTCCTCCGCACTAGCCCAGAACACCTACCTCGATAGTTCACTACCGTAAAGTGGGGCTATTTGAGACAGTGGGGCTATTTGAAACAGTATTTAAAATCGCTATAAGATGAAGACCGTTTGATTTATTTGATATTTTTGTTCAGGGAGGTATGGAATCGAGCAGTAAATCGTCTGAGCAAAAATTAATCATAAATTTCAAACGGTTTTTATTTTATAGCAATTTTAAAAACTGTCTCAAATATCCCCACCTTACGGTATTCCAGTCCAAAACACCCATACTTATTTTCAGCTCTCTCCCGCCATTCCACCCACCTCGATAGTGCGCTGTTCCGGTTCTCTTTTCAGGCTGACCAGGAAGTTTGGGTCCAGTTTGATATCACTCATCGCGGACACCTGAGCAGCCGCTGCATCCTCCCGCCAGCGCGGCTACTCGCGAGAGTCACACATCAGTCCTTCCTCCCAGATGTGCGGACGGCTGGTGGACGTGTGCGAAAACCTGGAAAGCCATCGTCATCGTAAGTCATCGAGTTCAGGTCGTGATACATCCAGGTATTTTGGCTGTGAGCTGGTTCAGGTGCTTTGAAATTTATTTGGATATCATATGCTTCCAGAGCCCTGCTCCAGTGGCAAAACTCAACTGAGGGCTACTGGTATTGCTGCTCGTTAAAAAAAAATAAATCTAGCTTGAACCTTTGAATGAAAAGATTGACAGAGCCAGAGCCTACACTAAGTAGAGCTTGTTGCTCAGACTCCGACTCTACCGTCTGATCTGCAATTTCGGGTAACAGGAGAATTTATATACCAAAGTTTAACATGCCTATCAAAGTTGGACATGGCCTGTCCCAAGCAGCCACCTTTAACTTGCTGCGGCTGCTCCCACCAACCGCTGAGGCTGACCATCCCCATCACAAGTCTCAAATATCGAGCCCAGAGTGACTGAAACCAGTGAGTCCAATACTCTACAACTGTCCTAGTCAGAAAATCTGAATGCATCAGATGCTTTTCAGTTTTCAATTTTTAACATCTTTGAAATATTAGTTTATCAAAATAATATTGTCTTGGCTTTTGATATACATATCTGAGCAGTATTTGCCTCAAAATTTGAGAATGAGGATTGCTCATAATTGTTCAATACAGCAACACAATACAATACCATACAATGCATATAAATTATAAATCTCAATGCTTTCAGAATGCATTAGTTTCAGATACCACATGAGAAGATTATGACACTATTTACACCTATTTGTAAGTGGGTAATCTGAGAATCAATTATCAATCTGTATAATAACATGGAACAAAAATGATAGACGAACGCGTTTCGGCTAAATCACCGTCATCAGCATCTAAAAGGAGAACAAGATGACGGTGATTAAGCCAAAACGCGTTTGTCTATCATTTTTGTTCCGTGTTATTATACTTGTCTCAACTAAAATACAATTATCAATCTGTGCTATCTTACACCTTCAAGTTTCCCAATACAGTTATACCAATAATGTTGACATTGTTCAATAAATAACAACTTAGGTTTAGATTGGCCTAAGAGTAAGCACACTTAAATATCCAGTTCAACCAACCAATGTAAATTCAAACCACAATTTTCCTACCAGATTCCGGAGCAAACACTAAGGAGGCTCGGATTATATCTTCATTTTGTTCTAAATTAAGTTCCTCATTAAGTTTATATATAATTTTGAAACATGAAATGTACAGAAATTCAAGATCACAGAGCTAGGTTCCCAATAATATCAATAGAGCAAACACAAAACATTGCTGAGGGCTGTTCGCGGGCCCTGTGAGCGGTCGGACCTCACACAGCCTCGAAGCTCCGCCCACTTCGTCCCTACGTCAGCCTTCCGTCACCGCACACAGTGATCGCTGTGGCCGGTCGGGACCAGCCACAGCGGACTGTCCACCGCACGCAGCCGTGACGTCAGAACCGCCTACCCATCCCCTACCCCCACGCCTGCTGGACGCACCGCACACACTGCACACAGCATTGTGCGGTGCCCGTGAACACCCCTCTGGTTTGCTCCCATCTGGTGATATTTGGCAGGCTGCCAAATTTCAAATAAACCTGTTGCTGGCATATTACTGGGTAAATATAAACAAATCCATAATTTAATATGTAACAAAAGTATTATAACAACAATGAGGAATGTAACAATTCAAAAAAATGCAGCATTATATCATTCTTTGTCCAAACAGCACACATTCAACAAGTGAGCCTTCTATGATTGGTATTAAAACAGTTGTCATGATAGCAAGCATTCGCCAATGCACTTACAATGTCAGATGATATTGACTAAATTTATGGAACAATACACATAAGAAATTATATTAGAAAAATGAAAAAATAAGACAGTTCTCAACCTAAGCTAATGGCAAAAATTGTGAGACATTTGTAGCGCATCAAGTCCAATGCTCAAACAAGATGATCTTAGCCACCAATGTGTCAAATAACATCATTTGAAGTAAATGCTCACCTAATATTCACATGTGTCCATTCGGACAACACATCACACAAATCAAAACAATGAAAGGCACACCTACACACAACGCGTTTACAAACTTTCGCAACTATAGTGATGGGCAAGGAGTTAAGCGAGTACTTTACTTTCGAAAGTTTCTAGGTACTGGTACTGACTTATGCAGCCAAGAAGCTTGTTTCAACTTTTTATTGGAAACAATTTGAAGTAAAAATGAAATGAGAAAGTGTTTCTACTCTAAATATGAACAGCTGCAATCGATTTTTAGTACTCTTATTGATATATCTAGATCCGTGAAGCTTCGTGTCTACTAAAGCTTCTAAGCTACACCGCTAGATGTCACGAAAAGCGATTAAATGAATCCTCAAGGGCGTTGCCGCGACTCGCTGAATGAATGAATGAATGGGTGAATGAAGAATGAATGAGGGATTAATCCATGAATGAGTGATACTCATCATGCCCATGTTAAATATATTCATTTCTTTGCGGCTGCTCTCACTTCTCAGTCCTCTTGTCCATGCTTCTGGTCCGGCTGGGCCCGCTGGCGCCGCGCATTCAGTCGAGGCTCCAGCGATTGGGTGGCTGCGCAGCCACCCAATCGCTGCAGCCCCAGCGGTTGGTCTGCAGGGACAACCTCTGGTTGACCTGACCTGGCCTACCCGAATTGCATGAATGCCTACAACATCATCAGATACCAAATTCGAATTCAGGATCCACCCCCCTCTCAACAACCTCTCACAAGACGCTCTAGCAGGTCCCGATTTGCCGACTTTTGGGGTCATTGACCTGACCTGGAGGGTCAACCAGTGATCTAGGTACCTAAACTCGGGTATCATTGGCTTTCTCTCGTCATGACTCACGAGCAACACGCTCGTTCTTTCGCAAAGCTCCTAGCTCTTGCTCGATTGGGGGCCAAACGTTTGGGGGAGGTTCTTGGACCCCCGGTACGTTAGCAGCTGGCAAATCAGGCCAAAAATGTCCCCTCTCAGCCAAGTGTTACTGGCCTTGATCCGCTACTCATACTAGTAGTTTAAACAGTAGCGGCTACTGTTTAACCCGCGCCCGGCTGGGGGTCCTGGATTTCCACGCCCTGCTGGGCGGGGGGGTGTTTGAACACCCCCCTTCTAACTCGGCTCCTGGGCCACGTAGCGACACGCGGAAGGCGGTGTTCGAAAGAGCGTCAAAAATAATGAGGAAATCACTTCGGTCAATTTTTTGGTCAGGTCAAAGGTCAGGTCACCAGAGGTCATCGAAGGCAAAATTTCGCCGATTTCGAGGTCGAATGTCGACAACTTCCAAGAAGCCAACGCATAACTCGGGAACCAATAGAGCTACAGCGCCGCAGAAAAGCGCATTCGATAGCCCTATTAACGCCCTATCTGAGTAATTTTCTCAAATTTGACCTAACGTCAACGGTTTTGCCTGCAGGGGGCAAAAACTGCAAAAATAGCCGATTTTTTCGGAAACAGTTTTTCTGCAATAACTTTTGACTCAAGCCTTGTACGAGCTTACTTTTACCGGCATCGTGTTCCTCTTGTCAAGACGCATCGAATGAACTATAACTTGACCTTGAAAGGTCAACCTGAAAATTTGACCTCAGGTCAAGGTCATGACCTGACCGGAAAGGGTCATGTTGCATATCAGTCGATCGGTATCGTCGAGCTGAACACATCTAAGGCGTTTTCATCGTTCTAGCATGCCTCTATCAAAAGTTATTTGCGAAAAACTGTTAGATACTATTCGTGACCTAAGATGACCTCAGGGCATAATCAGGGGTCACGGACACCATTTTCATGTTCAGTGTGTCTAAACCACTTGTAATTCAGTGTTTGGGAGTGTTTATAATGTATTTCGTCCAAAAGAGGCGCATTTCAATTTTCTCCCATTGACTTATAATTGTGAGGTCGCAAAATTGACCTGACCTTAGGTCATCGATATCAAAATTCTGAGATATACATTTTGTACATGCTATTGCTCTTAGCAATCGCTGAAAGTTTCAAAGCGATCGGTCACTCGGTGTAGCTATGACTGACATTGAAACTTTTTATGAGGTGAGGTCACTTCAAGTGACCTGGTGACCTGACCTTGAATGACCTTGGTCTGAAATTTTCACAACATGTGTAGAATTGATGTATGATAAGGTGTACCAAAAACGGCGGCGCTCCGCGCCGCCGTTTTTGAGATATTCGTGAAAAACCACAAGGGGGGGTGTTCAAACACCCCCCCCCCCAGCAGGGCGCGGGTTAACCTTCGCCCCAGTGGGGGGGGGGGCATATGTTACCACCCTGTTGCGTTTTTTGCGTGTGAATAAAAAACCACGGCGCGTAGCGCCGCGCCGCTTGATATAGCTTTTTGTGCATCAATTTTGGACAATGTGTGAAATTTTTGACCCCAGGTCATGTCAGGTCAGGTCACCGGGTCAAGGTAACTGATCAAGCCTAAAAAAGTTTGCAATGAGCCTGCAGTGTTTGATAGAGAGGTTTTAAACTTGGTGGATTGCATGATGTTATGGGCGCCTACAATTTGTATATCTCGGATTTTTTTTATATCCGTGACCTAAGGTCAGGTCAGTGGCGTTACCCATTATAAGTCAATGGAGAAAAACAAAAATGCCTCTAGATCTGTGTGTACGCATAGGAACAGTCCAAATATTTCAGAATCACAATGATTTGGGCCACCCGTGACGACCAATGTGTCTTTTTTGCTGATAGCCTCTAGAAAGGTCATCCGAGGTCAATTGAGGCTACAAAAATATTTTTGCCAATAACTCTCGATTGGAAAGAGATAAAACGCTGGGGATGGCCTCATTGTGATTGTCTTGCCGAGACGCATCGACTGATATGCAACATGACCTTTTCCGGTCAGGTCATGACCTTGACCTGAGATCAAATTTTCAAGTTGACCTTTCAAGGTCAAATTATAGTTCATTCGACGCGTCTCGGCGAGAGGAGCACGATTCTGGCAATAGAAATGTCCTAGCTTTTTTTTACTCAAAAGTTATTGTCGAAAAACACTTTTCGTAAAAACAGCTATTTTGGAGTTTTTGCCCTCTTGAGGCTAAACCACTGACCTGAGGTCATTTTTGATAATGACCTTATCAAAAGAAGAGTTCAAAATTCAAAAACTATCGATCGCTTTTCCAAGCGTTTTTCTAGCTATCATAGTTCCTGAGATAATGGCATGTTTTCTGAAAAATATAATGACAATTCGCAAATTTTGACCTTTGATGACCTCTGGTGACCCCAATATTGCTCTAAGATGAAAAATGACTGAAATACTCTCAAAGGTACGCATCGAGAGCTATCGACTGCTTTTTACCGCGTCTTCCTAGTTCCTAGCCCTCTTAGTTTTTGAGTAAGAGATGGGTGGTAACCAGGGATGCGGAGCCGTGGAAATTTCAGACGGCTCCGGCTCCGGCTTCGGCTCCGGAGAAAAAAATCGGCTCCGGCTCCGCCTCCGGGTAAAATGTCATGGCGGCTCCGGCTCCGGCTCCGGCTCCGAGTAAAATGATCCGGCTCCGGCGGCTCCGGCTCCGGTGGCTCCGGCTCCGGCTTCTACTCAGTACATCCCCTATGCGATCAATTAAATACGAGTGGAAGAAAAAAGGCGAAGGGATTGGTACACGTTGCTTCTGTATTTGTATAACAAGGCTATTTTGAATACCACATTGTTTTACGCCTTGTACTGTCAAACTGAACTAGGTAAATAATTGTTTCCTCTTAAGAAAAGGAGCCGGAGTCGCCCCCTTTTTTGACGGCTCCGGCTCCGGCTCCGGCTCCGGGCTATATTGTTTCACGGCTCCGGCTCCGGCTCCGGCTCCGGGCAAAATATGCCGGCTCCGGCGGCTCCGGCTCCGGCTCCGCATCCCTGGTGGTAACATATGCCCTGCCCCCCCCCCCCCCCCCCACTAGGGCGAAGTTGGCTGAGACCGCCACTGGGGCGCGGGTTAACCCTCGCCGGACCTATTGGTTTTCTACATACGCGCCGGCCGAGGGGGGGGGGCGGGTACGACCCCCCCTCGCCGTTTCGCCCCTGGTGGAGCTAGCGCGTCGCGGAAAAAACGAGCGTGTGCGCCGTTACGAGACGCAGAGATTGGTACCCGATTTTAAGGTCCTAGGTCAACCGGTGACCTCTGAGGTCAGGTCAAGTGCCCCAGGGTACGGTTCAGTTTTTGGTGAATAACTTCGCAAAAAACGGCCGCAGAGCCGCGATTTTGGCAGCATCGTGTTCGCCTTGATCAGGCGCGTCGAATGATATACTTTTGTCCGGGTCAGGTCAACTTGGGGTGTTGACCTCAGGTCAAGGTCAGGTCAGCACCCCCAGGTCACGAAGTTGGTCGAAAGAGGTCATGTCGCATATCATTCGATTCGGCAGGTCTTCCTAAGTCCATTGGTGGCTTTCCCGACTCGCTAGCTCAATTTGATCGGGAGTTATTGACGAAAAACTAATATGACCTTGATGACGTCATAAATGAGGTCACGGAAGGTCAATATTGCAAAAGTGACGCATCTAACCTTGCAAGGAGTGCATCAAATCACGATTCTGTGTGCTTGAGATAGTTGGAGATCGTTCCCGGCGCCAGAATAGCAGTTTGAATTTTTCCCCATTGACTTATAATGGTGAGGTCACGAAAATGACCTGACCTCATATGACCTTTAGGAAAAATCCGAGATATACAAGTTGTGAGACTCATAATGGATACTAGATCCTGCAAGTTTCATTTCCCTGTGACATCTCCTCTGGCAGTGAGGGCGTTGCGAAGTTGCGACAGCTGAAGACCGTGCAGAGGTTCACTTATGACGTCATAGGTCAGTGACCTGACCTGACCCAAAAATGCGGTTGGTGTCAAAAGATGCGGCTTGGATCAAAGGTCAGGTATGCCAAGTTTCAGCTCTCTATCGCCAGCGTGTTCGGAGCTATCGCGAAAAAACCCTATGGGGGGGGCGGCACCCGCCCCCCCCCTCGGCCGGCGAGGGTTAAAGCTTATACTTCCACCAAAATGAAGTTGTGACGCGTGCCGGCGGGAACTCATGCTGACGGGGCTAGATAAACTAAGAAAAATAGTTTCAGCATAGCTCAAGCCTTTATTCACTCATCAAATGAGACAA